ATGACGGATTAACGCATATGTGGACAGGCGAAACATGACAGTTTAACGCATATGTAGACAGGCGAAGCATGACAGATTAACGCATTTGTAGGCAGGTGAAGCATGACGGATTAACGCATATGTTGACAGGCCAAGCATGACGGATTAACGCATTACATAACGTAACAATCACTTAGTGCACACGCATGACAATGGAGTCCCACACTGTCGCGAAGTGGCATACCTTGAATCGTCGGCAGATATGTCCACTATGCCTCGTTGTTTGTTCTTGAAACTGTCCAGTGACACTCCCATCGGCCGCAGCGAATTGCACACGTTGTGACGCAGAGCTGTGCACAGATACACAACAGAATGCGAAGACATCGTGAGATGGGACATGCGCTGTTCACTCAGAAAGATTGGACTATACTGTCAATCGATATATATATTTCTGTTAACTCAGTTGGTTAGAGTGCGGACCTAATAAGTCCGAAGTCACCAGTTCGAGCCTGATACGGAGAATACATTTTGTACGAATTCCAACTTTTTAGTTTCCATTTTGGTAGAAAACTTTAAACCCCAAAGAATCCTCTAAACCCTAAACCAAAGCGATTGGCAGATCATATGGACATGTGCTTGAAGGGGGTGTGACAGTGGATGTGGCGATCACGCGTACCCTAAACAAGAAATGGAACAAACACAGAAGCATAACCCTAACACCCTAAGGACATCGAACAAACACATGAGCATAACCCTACACTCTAAGGACATGGAACAAACACAGGAACATAACCCCAAAACCCTAAGGACATCGAACAAACACATGAGCATGCGGTACTTCAGAGGGGTTGCGTACATGGCCAACACAAACCATTCAACGGGAAGTGTGGAGGGGACTTCTAATTGAAACCTACCAGCGTATGGGCCACAAAGCAAGGTCACAGAACAAGCGGTAGGCATAAGCAGACGATTAAACAACAGATATCCATCCAATGCGCATCAGTACGTACACAAGAGTACCTTGTGTGCATCTATGCCTCCTGGTTCTTATTGAGTGATATGTGAACGGTTTCTCATTTCTCATACAGACCTATACGATCAGCCAATCCACTGAGCCACAGACGCCACACTACGCAGAACACGCACACATGCGAGTGCACTCACCCACTGGATACACCTTCACTGGAAGCCCCTCCACTGAACACACCTCCAATGGACACACCTCCACTGTGAGCACTTGACAACAAAGTGCACCTGAACCAAATAGGCACTCAGTAGGCTACCAGTATATATACATATGAAGAAAACGAAGTAGTGAAAACAAAGTACCAACCCACCCACAGGCACACGCCCGTGCATCCACCCGGCCACTCACCTGCGCTATTCTCACCCACTCCGGCGGTGAAGACTATGGCGTCCACCTCACCACCCAACACAGCCATGTACGCCCCAATGTACTTGTGCAGGCGATAGCCATACATCTTGAACGCCAGAGAGCTCTGCTCATCACCCTGCTCATGGCCCTCGGCCACATCACGGAAGTCACCTTTGCCACAGATGCCTTTGAGGCCAGAATTCTTAGTCAGCATTTTGTTCACCTCATCGAATGAGTATCTGCACATGTGCATGAACAGACACACAAAGACAGGCAAATACATACAAATACAGTCAAAGACAGGCAGTGACAGTCAAAAACGGGCAGTGACAGTCAAATACAGGCAACGCAAAGCGAAGGGAAGGGATTGGCGTTGTGTGAGGAATGGTGCGTTGGCTGACAGCCACGGTAAACGCGCTGTAGTGCGGTGTTACGCCCTAAACCTTAAACCCTAAAACGCTAAACACTTAAAACGAGGGACGATTAGGCAAGTCTTGAATGGTGCCCATTTTACGGAGCCGTCAGTAGGAATGAACGAAGGCACACGGTGTCAACCATCAGAGTGCCACTCAGGCGAAGACCCATTAAGCTATACACACAATACACGAACGTATATGCTAGTAAGTGAATGATGTTGTACAAAATAATCCCATATAAACGTTTCGAGCATACATGAATTATATGTTGGTCATACAAAGCTGTATGTATAGAAATTTGCTTGCATATATAACACACATATATCGATATCGTATACATAACGTATACATAACGTATACATATATATATATATATATATGTATATATATATATATATATATTTATATATAAATGTATATATATATATAATGTATATATATATATATATATATATACGTGTATATACACGACACATATCTA